GACACGGGAAGCAAGAGTAATTGTTCAAAGGCCATTTTCTTCCTTTGTCATAGAGAATGGACAGAGTGGAAAAGAGTGGTGGGAGTATCCTGGCTCAGAGCCAGCTCAGGCCTTCTGTACAGTGGGCCTCATCCTACCACCCCTTGGACAAACCTGATCCTTACTGTATATCCCACCTGGTGGAGGTGGCCACTAGAGTCACTGCAGCAGACTTGAGCTTGGTGGGCCTTCTGACACATGGTCAAACATCTCTGTGTGGGCTAGTCCTCTGGCAGGTGGTAGCTAGAGCTAGGTACACCTTTAGGCAGCTTCCCCCTTGACCCTTACTCCTGCCTGGTGATAGATGGAGTTCAGCCCACTCTTTCATTGACCTAATGCCAGTATGGTGCAGTAGGACAATGTGCCTCTGAATCCACATCTAGAGGACAAAAATCCTTGATGGAGATATGGCTGCAAGCGCTGGGCCACCCTTCTGATAGCACAGATAATTAGGCTTGGGGACTTAAGGACAAAGGTGGCCCTTGAGAACAGTGTCACTGGGAGTTGGAGGAAGCATTGTACTGGATGGTTTAGCATGTGGTATTGACAAGTCTGAGTGGGGAGGGTAAGTGGATGGAGGAGGGCAACTCTCTGAAGGAAAGCTATATGGAGAAGAGATTTACCTCCAAGTCTACCCTGGAGCATGGATGCAGGGGGCGCTGGCCTGCAGAGCTGGGAAAGGAGCTGGGACAGTTATGGGGAAGTCCATAAAGGACCTGAGAAACCACATCTAGAGAGAAGGTGGGAAAACCAGGAGGGTAGAGAGCCAGGGGACAATCCCTGAAGGGTGAGGTGGTTCCCTGGCCCATGGAGGGGCATCTGGAGTTGTGTTAAAAGATGTGTGTGATGGGGCTGGGAAAATGTTTCTTCAATATGACTGGGTTGGGCTGCAAGGAAGCAGGTAGAGAACGCAGGGCTTGGGTTGGGATGTGGTATGATGTGATCAGCATGGGGAGATGAAGAGTAGCACATTGTGCTGAGGCAGGGGAAACTGAGTGCTTCTGTCTTCAGAGCAGGAGCAAATATGGTGAAAGATAAGGGTGTAGCAGCAAGGGAGGTAAAGACTTTGAAGGGAAGAGTGTCTACGGCCTGTGTACTCCCAGCCCAGCCGAGGAGACCTTGTGCTAGGAGACTTGACTCCTGGATGTAGATCAGAGCATACTCCGTAACTAAGGGGAATCTCACTAGGCAGCATGCAGGATCTTAGGACCCCAGTCTGGGTGTCCAGGAGGCATCTCCCAACCAAATACTTGTGTTAATCAATTTCTGTGTGCAGGCACCATAGATAAAACAGACCCAGCCTCAAGAGAAAGGTGGACTACTGCCCTGTTCCTCTCTCAGTGGCCCTCAGGCCTGCAATGTCAGCACTGTATGCTCAACTTTCAGAACCGAAGATTTTCACTTTGAT